TGCTCAGGGTGAAGTAGAGGGAGGCAATGTAGGTGCTGCGGACAGACGGGCCCCCCAGGGAGCTGTTGACGTAGGGCGCCTCCAGCCTCTTGCCCAGCTCGTGGAGCCAGCCTGCCAAGCACAGCGAGGAGTTACAGCCGGCTGGCGCTCGGGGTGGGGGCCGGTCCAGCGCCCCGGCAGCCAGCCCACGGGGGAGCCCAGAGCAGCCCCGTGCTGGGCATCGCTGCCCCTCGGCTCCAGCGTGGCACCCAGGAGCACTGGCCTGGCCAGTGTCGGTGCCACACGCTGTCACCGCGACTTGCCCAGGGAGCGGGGCCAGCCCGGCTGGGTCATTCCCGTCTCACTCAGGCCAGCTAGTCCCAGAGCTTTCAGCTCCGCAGCCAGAGCCCGCTCTGTGGCCCCAGGCTTCGGCTGGAGCGGGGCCACGTCTCCCTCCCTCCGCATCACCGGGGCCGAGCGCTCGCCGCCGGCACAGGCGCTCAGGGCTCGATCGACAGGGTGGGGTCCGCGCAGCCCGGCGTGGTGTCTGCCAGGGCAAGGAGATGCGCTTTGGTAAGCCCCCGGCTGTGCCTGCCTGGCTGCCCCGTCGCTCTGCCAGACCAGGAGCTACCACCCAACGGCTCCTAGAGCGAGAGGGGATCGGATCCCAGCTTGGCCATCAACTCCCCCAGTGCTCTCCCTTCCCCCGCCCATCCTGGCCTGCCCAATGCAGCCAGGGGCTTCTCGCACCACTGCCCCTGGGCCCTACGACTGCCGGGCCACCCCCACGGCTTGGAGAGCTCTCCCTGCCTGCAGCGGGGGGGCCTGGCTCACCCCAGCAGCTGCAGGCGTCTGGACTCCCCCTGCGGAGGAGGCAGGCTGCCCCTCCGCCACCCGTGCTGCCTTCCTAGGACTTGAATCCTGCGCACGGAGCCAGCATGAGGCCCCATGGCTGCAGCCATGCCCCTCGTCTTGTGCTGGGCCTTTGCGCACATCCCCCGGCCCCACTGGCCCCCGCCAGACCCGGCGTCCGCCTCCTTTGAAGGTGGGACGGTACCGACATCACCTGTGACCGAACAGATCATCGGTGCAACCGCTGTTATATATTCACAGCAAATATTGTACAAAGGTTGTGGTGTGAGGTGTCTGTGGAAGGTTACGGTTGGCTGGATATGATGATGCTGGCTGTATGTGTGTACCATTTGTGTAGTTAAAGCAAGGAGTATTGGCTGGGTACTTGTATCTCAATGTGTTTTGATTCTAAGAAGCCTAAGAAGTAAAGCATTTGGTCAGCTTCTTGAGAAAGGAATTTGCAAGTTAAGTGCCCAATCAAGAAACACTTAACGGACAATGGAACCTGGAAGACTCCAATCCACATAAGAAGTCTACCGGGGATATTCAAGATGGCGTGTGGGCAATGGCCGCCACCTGTAAAGAATTGAGTCATGCACGGACATGTGACTTGCCCATGTGACTCCAGACTCCATTTTGCTGTAATTTTCCACAGTAAGAACGAAGAGGTGTCCTTACACCTGGAAGAGACTATAAAAGGCAGCTGCCTCATCTCCATCTTGTCTTCAATCCTGCTTCTTGCCTCTGGAGGAACTTTGCTACAAACTGAAGCTTTGAACAAAGGACTGAATGACCCATGCCAGCTGGGGATGTACTCCAGAGACTTGATTTGAACCTGGAGTTTATTCTATCACTGCTACAAGCCTGAACCAAGAACTTTGCCATTACTATATGTCATTGATTCCATTTAACCAATTCTAACTCTCATCTCGATCTTTTTCCTTTTACGAATAAACCTTTAGATTTTAGATTCCAAAGGATTGGCAACACCATGATTTGTGAGTAAGATCTGATTTGTATATTGACCTGGGTCTGGGGCTTGGTCCTTTGGGATCGAGAGAACCTTTTTTCTTTTACTGGGGTATTGGTTTTCATAACCATTTGTCCCCATAACGAGTGGCACTGGTGGTGATACTGGGAAACTGGAGTGTCTAAGGGAATTGCTTGTGTGACTTGTGGTTAGCCAGTGGGGTAAAACCAAAGTCCTCTCTGGCTGGCTGGTTTCGGGCTGTAACTGCCCTGCTTGAAGCAATTTGTCCTGAACTGCACTCTCAGAATCACAGAATCATAAAATATCAGGGTTGGAAGGGACCTCAGGAGGTCATCCCACCCCCTGCTCAAAGCAGTGTCCCACCAGGACCAGCATCGTTACAGACGGCTCCTGCTAAGTGGCGGCAGCAGGAAGGAAGTGTTGCTCGTTGATAGCCACCCGCCAGCCAAATCCAGTCCTGGACCCTCAGCCCAGGTCCCTGGGGAGTGGGCCAGCCTCAGTATCTGCCTTGTACAGGTGGGGAAACTGAGGCACGGGGCAAGGCACTAACTTGCCTAGATCACACAAGCTAGAATAGAACCCAGGCATCCTGACTCCCAGCCCCACCTGCTCTAACCACTAGATCCCACTCCCCTCCCAGAGCTAGCAACAGAACCCAGGAGTCCTGTGCCCACCCGCTCGGACCCTCCCGGCTCAGACCCGTGCACCCCGCCTGACTCACCGATGTCCCAGGTCAGGGGGTCGTTACTTTCCATCTCCTTCCGGCCGATCACGTACCAGATGCAGGCCAGCCAATGGGCGAGCAGGGCGAACATGGACATGAGCAGGGTGAGCACCATGGCGCTGTACTGGGAGTAGCGGTCCAGCTTCTGTAACAAGCGCAGCAGCCTCAGGAGACGCACGGTCTTCAGCAGGTGCACCAGCGAGGTCTGGGTTGGCGGGCGGGCAGAGAAGCAGAGGCGGCCGTCACTGAGAGCGGGCGCCAGGGCAGCCTCTGCCCAGGGCCGGATGGGAAACAGCTTAAAGAACTAGTCACGGGGAAATTCAGCCCTGGGCGCAGCCCAGCCCGGTGCCCCGCAGGCCTCGGCACCACTGCCCTCCCCCGCCTGGCTGACGTCCCGCTGCAGCCCGAGGTCTCACGCTGGGAAGGGGCTCGACACCAGCACTTTGTTGCCAGGATGCTCCCCTGTCAGTGGGCTGCTCTGGGTCACGCCCCGCTGCTGGCAGCCCCTGCACTTGGATCCATTTCCACGGCACGTGGGGCCCGGGCATGAGCCGCAGCATCATGCAAGGCACAGGCCCTCTTCCTGGTGTGACGAACTGGGACTGTTCTTACTGTGGTGTGTGAATGCTGACAGGGGAGTGTGACTAGGATGGTCTGCATCGGGGG